AATTTTAGCTTAAGCTAGAAATGTAGCTCCCACTTGTCTCAACCTCTGCTGTACTGCAGAGTCGATCCTTTGATATGGAAATGCATCACCTTAATCTGACTGTTAAATAGTTTATTAGAGTTTGAACCCTGTACGTTTGCAGCCTTTAAACAAGACTTACATTTTAATGGACTTTTACCAGAAGCATGTGTGAAAATACTGAGAGCAAAAACCAAATCCATGCTTTTTAGAGAAGAAGGAAAACTTTGTAAAGAAAAAGTAGAATAAATATGAGTTAAATAATAGGAATCTGTGCTCTCATCCCAAGCTTATGAATAATTAATAAAACCAACGTGGATCCCCTTTAGAGTGAAATGCCACAGATGGCCTGAAGCCACTGGCTCTGGACCATCGCTGGCTCCAGACTTTCATTCAAAAAACAAAACAAAACACCAACTTCCCTCATGAGAAAGAAACTGAACTTTTCTCCACAAGCTAGTATTGTCAGACAGATCTGCTCCCTCTGATTAAGATGCCGCTGTCTCTTAGATAATAATTTTATAATTCAAAATGCTCAATAAAATGCACATTTGTCAAATCAGCTTTCAGAGATCAACTCTGCCACCTCTCTCTTGTCCAAATAGATTTTTACTAAAAAAAATTTTTGCCTAGAGTGAATGTCAAACTTCTTATTTTTTCTCTCTTTCTTTTAATTTCCCAGTTTCCACCCAGACATTTCTGTTTTGACTCATCTTTATTTTTGGATTTTAACCTCTGCGAGTGCTAGCAGAAGTGGCGAGGACACACAATTACACTGAGATTGTTCAAGAGCTGTCGTTGCAGTCCGATGTTTCCATGTTGGTATTTCTACTAGAATAAATATTTGTGATTCAGTTTGCTGTGCAGTGTTACATTTTTACAAAGAGCACACTTACTATAAAAAAATAAATAACATTTTTTTACAGAAGTATCATTCTTTTGTTGCTTCCTTATCGCCGCTCTACTCTCATCATTGAGACTTCCTCACAATATTGGGCCTTGAGTCATTTCTGGGTAACAGGCAGGAAAAACTAGCGAGAGAGAAAAAAATTAAAAGAACTGCAGGTCAGGCAAACAGGATGAGTCTGAAAAGCTCACACTTTATTCAGCTTCTTTTTTAAAAAACTTACTGGTGCTGAAACTCTCGAAAAATAAAAGTTTGAACATTCCTTGAACGGAGATTGATGAGAAATGGCAACAGCTCTGTTTAGGTCAAACCATGAGGTTACGCTTGATCTTGTGATATGCTGAGATCTTGCCAGACGGGTTAGCGCTCGGCGTATTTTGTGACTGACTCTCAGCTACTACCACGTCAAATTTTAGCTAAACATCTGTCAAACTGATCGAGTTAGAACGTTTTTTGTGTTTGCTAATTCCAAATACCTGTGGGGGGCATTTTGAATTGGAGTCCACCCAAAAGTAAATCACTTCTAGATGTACATCCAATGATTAATTCCTGAATATTTCATTGAAATCTGTCTGATAGTTCATGAGATATTTTGCTAACAGTCAGACAGAGTTGAAAA